TCTTGGTGGCAGAGTTACTTGAAGGCAGACAGGACTGGGAATCCTGACTTCAACATCATTGGCTGGAACCATCAGTCCCAATCCACTAAACAGCTCTCTCATTGACTGAAGCACACAGTTTTTCCCTCTTCAAGGGGAGCATTTGTCATTTCCAAGTTGAGAACTGCATGGAAAGGGCTTGATCTGCTGTGACTGAGATTGAGTTTTAACTGTGTCGGAGCAGAATCTGACCTAGAGTGCACAAAATGTGTGATCGAAGTGAGGGGGAATTTCTGATGACAACATCTTGCTGGGAAAAAGATACATATATATCTGTTGTCACCCTGAAGAAAGCATTTGGAGAAGAAAAAACCTCTGAGATGTCTGTCACCCACATGATTTAGTGTAGCTAACTTGCAGTTATTACTACATAAAAGGGAAAGTGGAGTGAATTTAGAACTTGTTAATTAAAAATGCCACAAATGAAAATCTGTAGATTAAGTTAACAGGAGTTCTGGAGGCTTCTGTTAATGACATAAACTGAAGATAAACATCCTTTTTTTGTACTAAAATGCCACATTAGTTACAGTGAGATACATACGCTATGTACTAAACTCCTCCATATTCTTGCACACCCAAGCTGAAAAGGAAACAGCCCCCTAACAAATGGCTTCAAGGCTTCTTCCAAAACGTACACATTCATATATTATTTCACTGATTAAAACAAAGGGACCAGAAGAACATTCCTTTTAAGAATTATGAGAAATATATCTGAATTATTTTCAGTAGTGAAAAATATAAGCACGTGTAATATCCTCCTTTTAAAAACCAGACTGCCTTTTACAGTGTGTAAATGCCCAGAGATATATAGCCCAGTGATGAGTAGTTCTGAGAATAGAGGCATGAAAAACCCAATATTTAGTTGGAAATCCATTTTTTATTTTCTTCTGTCTGTTAAATATTCAGGGACAAGTTGAGCTGATTTTGTCTGTGTTGATTCTGTATGAAACTCGACGCTGTGCACAGAGACAAACACAAAATTTTATGCTAATGCAAGACTTCAAAATAACAATAAAACAGTAACTGCCATGCAGGATTAAATGTAAGGCAATCTAGTTCAGCACTGTGTCTCTGAGAGGCAGGACCAGGTGCTTCAGAGGAAGTTTGAGTGAAACATAATTAGGAGACAGTCATTGGTTTATTTTATTCCGGCTTGCATACGTTCTGTTTTTTCTGTTTTGGTTTTTTTTTTTTTTTTTTACAGTTAGTGAACAAATCTCTGCATCTGAAAATCGTGCATAGGGTGATTAGCTGGATCACATGGTTCAGGCATAACACTGGCAATCAGATTTCCTGTGTGAAAACTGTGAATCCAATTTTCACTCAACAACTGTTCTTTATAATGGGCTTTGTGTCTGCCAGCAACCTGATGTGCTAGGATATTCTTAAAATGGTAACATTTCTGAATGTTTCAAAGAAGCTGTGTATGAGTACCAAAAACTTCTCAGCAATTTTTCATGCCACAGTTACCAGAGCTTTCCTAAAGATTTTTTTTCCCAAAATATCTATTTAGAACTTTTAATATTTCAAGAGGATTCAACATTAACTTCTTCTAATGAAGACAGAGGATTCCACCAGCAACACAACTGAGCATGAAATACAGATTTAATATGAAACAATTAAAAGCAATAATTTTCATGGTGCATTTTTTATGTCCTCATGGAAAATATCTGGTCCATAATCTGTGTACTGTACAGAAATTGTATACTAATACAACACACTCATTCTTTTAGCAGGTTTTCAGCACCTCAGAGAATACCAGTAGTCTTGCAGTCTTCAAAATACAGCTTTTTCAGAGAGCTAATTATCTTAAGAAAAGTTTTTGACAGTGTCTGCAAAAATTCCTGTTACTGCACACTACTGCAGTAACAATCCAATTCCTCAGTTTCTTAAGGAGTCCTATATACACAACTGTGGCTAAAACATGAAAAAATCTAGTGCCTGGCTTAATGGTGTGTATAAACTAAGCGTCACTTTCCCTACTGTCTGCTTGACTGAGACAGTATTGGCTTTTCAGCCATGAGGTAATTTTTTAGACTCACAAACACCAACAGAACAGGATGTTGAACAAAGCCATGAACAATCTTGAAGATACTTTGATTAATGGTTAAGTTGGTAGAGAGATTTTCAGAGTTTCAAATCAGCACCCATTTTGTTACCAGTAGAAAAGATCAGCACTGTACTCCAATTTGAGCTAATCATACATCACCCATATTTGGCCAAGCCTTTTACCTCATCAAAACTTGTTCATAATCTGTGATCCAATTAATACAAAGACAGAATTCTGTCTGTGGAGCAGAAATATTCACTGTATTCTGTTCCTTTGCTTCTTAGAGATAACAATTATCATAACTGAAGAAAATGAATAAATGAAAATAAACTGGTTAGCAAATGTTTCATAACTATGTAACTCCTCTGAAGGATCTGATCTCTGTCTTTGGACTAATATTTTTTAGCACCTTGACTGATAAGCAAGTACTTTGATGAGACTTTCTTGACTGACAGATGCATAATACACAAAAGCTACTGCCTCAGGTGATTTTTGTGATGAAGGGCCAGAGTACGAATGTACATAACGTAGAAGATGGGAAGAAGATTGAGAAAACAGTTTATTCAGTAAAAATGCAGATTAGATGATCCAGAAGAACTTGACTTCATTATTTTAATGAAAGAGAGCAATCAGTTTTTTTTAAAGATGGGCTTGGAAATCTCACTGAAATATATTGATTTTCATTTCAGGAAAAATGATTAATGGTACTTAGAGAAACAAAGACTATCTAACAAATGAAATTAAATTTGTTATTTAAGCCATAATGATTTTTTTTTCTCAGATTTTTCATATTGATGAGTAAATCAGTTATTATTCTAAATTAATCTAAGCATTACAATGCCATTATAATTTATGTTTGAAAGGAAAGTGACATGACAAACTCATCAGGATGCACCTCCATATAAGAAAGATAAGAACAGAGGTTATCAATAGCTTTTTTTTTTTTTTTTTTTTTTTTTTTGATAGACCTATTATAGTATCAGATTTATTAATTGCCAATAATTGTAGCATATTTTGAACCAAATATAAAAATATTTTCAAGCATAAGTAAGGAAACTTGGAGGAGCAACTAACTAGAACATGTGGAAGATCAAGAAGAAGAGAGCCCAGATTTTGAAACTGAAAGATGCAAATTTAGCTCCTTCATCATTTGTCCCATGTTACCTGTCTTTCAATAGGAAATGTTCTGGAGAAGTCTTTAAGATTAACATCTGAAATAACTAGATGTTTTTATTCTAAGATTTCACTCCCTGCTTGTAATACTGATTGTAGAATAATTTGCAAATATATATATATATATTAATAATAATTATCTAGGAATATCATACTAGGGAAATTTAAACAGCAGCACTAGCTGAGGTGCATATCCATTTCTTAAAGGAAGTAAAGGTACTGGAAACAGTGAATTGTCAGGAGAAGATTCAAAGGGAAGAGATTTCACCTAGATAAACTGAACTCAATAAAGCTTCCTGGGATAGAATGACAAGATGATAAGAAACCACCTCATCTAATATAAAGATGAATTGAACAGTACTGATAAAGAGGTAAAGCTATGGAACATTATAACATGAAACAATTGAAATGTTGTCATAGGAATACCAAGGACATGCTCACTCAGTAAATCTGCAGATGACACCAAGTTTGGAGGAAGTGTTGATCTGCCTGAAGTTTGGAAATCCTTACAGAGAGATCTGGACAGGCTGGATTGCTGGGCTGAGTCCAATGGGATGAAGTTCAATGAGACCAAATGCTGGATCCTGCGCTTTGGCTACAACAAACCCAGGTAACGCTACAGGTTTGGGGCAGTGGCTGGAAGACCGTTCAGAGGATAAGGACCTGGGGGTATTGGCTGATGTTAGACTGAACATGAGCCAGCAGTGTGTCCAGATGGCCAAGAAGGCCAACAGCATCCTGGCTTGTATCAGAAATAGTGATGCCAGTGGGAGCAGGAAGTGATCATCCCTCTGTACTCAGCCCTGTACTTCATGTACTATGTTTTGTTTTGGTCCCTTCACTACAGGAAAGACATTGAGTCCCTGGAGTGTATCCAGAAAAGGGCAATGAAGCTGATGAGGGGTCTGGAGCATAAGTCTTATGTGGAGCAGCTGAGGGAGCTGGGGTTGTTCACCTTGAAGAAGAGGAGGCTCATGGGAGACCTTACTGCCATCTACAGCCACCTGAAAGGATGTAGTGGCAACGTGAGTGTTGGCTTCTTCTCCCAGGATGAGAGGGAATGACCTTAAGTTACTTTAAAACTGCATGCAGATCAGCCTAACTCCATCACCAGTTCTCTTAACAGTATAGGAGATTGCCAAAAAGAGTGTTTTCTGCCAACTGTATCTACAACATAAAACAACAAACAATCAAACCAGAAATCTGCAGGTTAAAGATACACCTCAGTCTACCAACCTACAAACAATAACACTTTAAGTTGGTGATTTGCCTTTGGCATTGTGGTTTTGTACTGAAAACGAGATAATTGAAGGCGATTTCAGTCATTTCATAGTTGCATTTCATTACTTTCAGCTTTACAGAAATCTTGTTTATAAATTTTCAAAGCCACTTCCCACCAGTCACTCTACTGTTGCTGTGCCATTGCTGTGGTGTTAAAATACAATCTCTGGAGTTCTCAACAAAAAATTCTGTATGCAACACTGATATTCTGTTAGACAGAGGGAGACTGACAACACCCAGCAAAAAAAAAAAAAAGCTCAATTTTAAAACAGTAAATATCAACAGAAAGTGTGAGGAAACTAGGACAAGAAGATAGAAGAGAATAAAAATAATCAAGCACATTTGGAAAATAAACTCCTTTTCTAGCTGAAATTTATGGAATTCACAAAATTTCAACATATTTTTAAAATTGGAAATTGATGACAGCATTTTCAACATTTTTATAATAGATTTTTTACATTTTCTCCAGCAATACGGAACTTCTTTTTTTTCAGAATTATTTGCTTGTCACCTGGAAAACGTTTTGACAAAAAAATGCTGTGACTATGTATATTTGCTTACCTGATCAGTTACAATCACAGCCCTGAAGAGAATGTATTGAAAGAGAAATCTGTGGGGGAAAAATAAAAAGATGCTTAATTGTGAGTTCTCTCCTTGATATTTTTAACAATAAATTAGAAAACACAGTATGAAAAAAATCACATTATTAAGACTGGAATGTGATTAATATAAATATTAGAAAATGCTGAATGTTTTGCTGACAGTGCAATTTCTATTTCTTCAGTCACCAATACACCATTCTTTCATAGCTACTCCATCTATTGTACAAATGAATACATAAAAATTCAAGAATTGACATTTTGTATTAATTTTGTTGCTTAATTTGAGGACTGGAGAGACACTGAGGAAGTAGTACTCAATCCTGATTAAAAATTGTTTTATATTGCTATGTTACATACTCTCTAATAACGGTTGTTTTGATTGTGTCACAAACTTTGTGCAATTCAAATTCAGCAAATTCTTTTGGAGAGTTTGCACTGTCCTCATTTTACAGATGAGTTACTTGGTGCTAAGGGATCAAGCTGAAAAGTGAATACTTAATTTGAGTCACACGGGCCTAGTTTTTCAGAGGACTAAGCATTACACAGCACTTTATATACTGAAGGTACTGCTCACAGCAATTTCACTTGGACAAATAAATACTAAACACTTCTGAAGATTAGATGCTAAATTGAGATTAGAAATACGGGACATGCAATTGCAGACCACCTCCAAAAAGTTTATGCAGTGTACCTCAACAGGTGAAGTCTGTAGTAAACCTGAGGACTGTATTTTATTCTCCAGGGTTTTAATCAGCTATGTAGTGAGGCTCCTTTTCATGTACCATGCTGAAGTCAAGGTACACAACATCCACTATTCTTCCTTCATGTTTTCAGACAATCATGACATCACAGAAGGCTACTACATTGGTCAAGCATGATTTCCCATGGTGAACCCGTGTTGATTATTCCTGATAAATCTTCTTTTCTTCCAGTTGGTTGGACATGCCATCCAGAATAAGCTGTTCCATCATCTTCCCAGGGATGGAGGTGAGGCTAACTGGCATGTAGCTTCCCAGCTCCTCCTTCCTGCTCTTTTTGAAGACTGGAGTGACAGTGGCTCTCCTCCAGTCCTCAGGCACCTCTCCCATTCTCCATGACCTTTCAAAGATGATAGGGAGAGGTTTGCAAATCACTTCTGCTAGCCCCCTCAGCACACGTGGGTGCATCCCATTAAGACCCATGAATCTGTGTGTTGAGTCTGCCTAGACAACCTCAGATCCTCCTCAACAAAGGGGAAATCTTACTTTTTCCACACTCTCTCTCTTATCTCCAGGGTTGAGTTTCCTGACGGAAAGTCTCAGCAGTAAAGACTGAGGCAAAGAAGTATTCTCAGCCTTCTCTGATATCATGGTACCCACCTCATTCAGCAGTAGATTCACATTTTTCCTAGTCTTCTTTTTGTTATTAACATACTTAAGCAAGCCTTTCTTATTGGTCATGACCTCCCTCACCAGATTTAATTCAAGTGGCCCTTAGCCTTCCTTACTGCTTCCCTGTATACCTTGACAGTGTTCCTATATTCCTCCCTTTTTCATATTCCATAGACTTTCCTTTTTCCATTTGAGGTTTTCCACGAGCTTCCTGTTCATTCATGCAGGTCTCTTGCCACCTTTGTCTGATTTCTTACTCTGCACCAATCTTGAGCTTTGAGGAAGTGGTGCTTGAATGTCAACTAGCCCTATTTCTTCCATGTAAGATCCTGAGCTCCTACTCACAGCTACTGCATCCAAGGCTGTCCCAACATTCCCATTCCTAACCAATCCTTCCTTGTTTGTAAGAAGCAACATATCAGCGTATCAGTCCTCACTGGCTCCTCTACTATCTGAGTCAGAAAAGTTTGGCAGTGTTTCACTAAACACTTACTGACCACAAGGAAAATGCCTGACCAGAGAAACATAATTCAGTTCTGGCCCCTGGAAATGAAATCTGCTAATGGCAAGTGACATAAGAGGACGATGAAAAAAAGACTATTGTAACTCAGAAGACATCTCTTACTTTCACCTGAGACTGAAGTTTCCGGCATACTGAAGATCATCATATGAGTACCTGTGCAGATGCCTTGCATTTTGACTAAAAGGGAAGCCAGGGACCACAATGCAGAGAACTCAGGGATAGACCAGTAAACAGCAACAAGGAAGGGTATGAACAAACTGCAAACTCTGTCCCATCAGCACAATTAGCAGCAAACCCTGGAGTTTATGCTGCTAATAAAACCCTTCCTTTCGGTACATTATCATCCTCTGATGCAGTAACATTATTTTATCTTAAGTTAAAAGCTGAGATTGATCAAGCAACCTTGAGCTGGAAGGATTGTATCCTCACAATACAATTTCCTTTCCACACACCAGTCTGTGGTTCTCAGGGACTTGTTTTCAAAAGATTTACCATGGGACTTAT